GACTCGGTCAAGTTCTTCTGAATTGAACGAGTAGCGTAAGATTACTTGCGAACGCGTTCATTTCCATCCCATTGAAAAGACATCAGTTAGATACAGTTTCAAGGTCCAAGCAGTGGAGTCTGAACCAAGACAATGATCCAGAGTCACTCCAGCTGTACAAACTGATACCGGAAAAACTGGCCCGACCGGAGGTTTTCTTAAAAAAGGCGATCGAGTTCCTCAGACCGCTGTTTGACAAAGACCTCGGCTAAAGGAATATCGAAACGCATCTGATTGTTTTTTAAATCCAAAGTCACCGGGTCAAGCTTCTGTTCAAATCGCTGGATTTCTTCCGAGGATCGCAATCGGCTGCGGCGATCAACGTCGGAGTGCCACCGAAACAATCATGTGCGAAAGTAGCAATCTCGCGGCCATAGTAAAATAAAAGCCATCTAAAACTAGTCAAGCCAATTTCGAATTGCCCAAACTGAAACACAATGCAGATTACCTAGTAGCATAGGGCCGATTTTCTTCCTTTCTTACGTTATCTCTATAGTAAAACAGACGCAATTTCGGCACAACCGGTGCTTTGTGGAATGTGGATGCAGCGAAACTGATCATTAGCCCTGATTTTGGTCTGCCTTACGCAGAATGAATCACTGCTTTGGACAGGCATTAGGATGTGCACTGCTGGGGAATCTGTACTAGGTTTTGGGGAATCTATCGTGGGACTTGGCTGAAAATTCACGGGTATGGTTCTCCGAATCCATAAATTGGTATGTGTCAACAACACATATTTGACACATGCACTTCGCAGGCTGAGAGAAAGTACAGTGTTGCCAATGTTGACGTTATGGATTTTACATATTTGTTGATGTCCGCTGGCCACCAAGTTCTCTGGTAACGCAAGCTCCTGCTCAGAGGAAGCGTTCGTGGGCAAGTAACCCCCGATATCTTCTACAAAAGATCACGACAAGTGGGGAAGGTTGTAGTCACCAACAACCAAAACAGTATCACATACAGCAGCAGCATTTAAAGTCTGTAAGGCAGCTTCGGAATGCCGAGTGTAGCGTTTGGGTTCGCTATTCGGTTCCAGATAGATATCACACACGAAGACTGATCGCCATTAAGTCGAACAGGAACACTTAGTAAAGATCGTTTCACTGCAATGAAAACTCCTTCGCCTTGTTGAAATTGACTGGTAGCGTGACTACGATCACAGTGGTAAACGTTGTAATTCGGAGCCAATTCCGAATTGTTTACGTCGCTGCGAAGCCATATTTCCGTTAGCACAATCACGTCGTAACCACTCGATGCTGCAGCCAAGAAAAGTCGTTGCATACCACGCACGTTTTGGTAGTACCACAGACAAACAGACGTAACACTTCATTGTGTATCTTCGTTCACAAATTTAACGGTTGATTTGAATATTATCAGTTCCGCGAACAACTCGCCGCAGCGCTGGCATCGGAACACTGACGTTTCTATACATTCTATAGAACTTTTATGCAATATTGTTTGCGAGTTAGCGAGCAAGCTTGTTTTCCGCGAGAAACCCGAGAGATGTCGTTACTTAGGTCCTATGTTTTGAGATACTATGTTTTGAAGAAAAACTTTTTCAAAGCGTTACGTTTGTTTGTCTGTGGTAGTACACAGATAGTGTGAAATCAGACGTAGGCGATCAGAAAAATGATCCTGGTACCGGGAGTTGTGAGCTGCTTTCTTTGCTAATAAACAGAGTGTTGTGCCCTGAACCTTCTCACCTTCGATATGTAGTGGATAAAATTCGATCAGAGTTCCAACACTGAGAAACGCAGCGGCAGGAACGGTAGCACCATCATCCAACCAGCCTCGAATTTTATTGCCAGGGATCTTCTTGCAGCGAGTGTATCAGGAGGATATTAATCCGTTTTTGCATCACAATAAAACTCTTCGTTTGATGGAAACACTTAGTCAAAACACTACATTTATTTGCCTTATCAATTAAACTACACGATTATACAAAAAGGAACACGACAAGCCAGGTCGACACACTGATCGGACGTTATCATCCTCTCTTATACTCTCATTAGATCACTTTAGCTGCTACATATGTGGTACCTACTGACCTAAGCTACCAGAGAAGAGATGAATTTTTATATACCTAAACCTCGATTCCTTATCCCCATCATTGGATGGTATATATTGTACGGTCTAGACTGTAGACAATAGCCCAAACGTAAACAAATCCGCCCGGCGGTTGCACGGACAGGCTATTGTACTGCTCAGCTGCAATAGATGGATGCCAGGGTTGTAGTTGACAGGGGATCTGGATTCCGAACACAGAGGTTGGCGATTGATCGCTGCAGGCATTATTTCATAACTAGATGTAGGTAGAATTTGAATTGGCGACGACGTAAGCACAGAGCGGTCGGTAAGAGTATTAATGATTGCAGAAATTACTTAAGAAATCTCGCCATAATTGGATAAATTATAGTTTTTTTTTTTAAATTAGTTTGGTCACCGAAGTCAATATCTTCATAATTAACAACCTCTTCTACAGCATGCCCTGGTCGAAATTGCCTATATATTGTTAACGTAATAATGACTTCAAACAACGTATAATTTTCCCATACTCAATTTTGAGTTCCGTTTACTCAAATTCGCATAAACGCAGGAGACTCATAGGCTGAGGCAATCTTTCCTTGATTTTCCTTAAAAATCTAGTTGATAAAGCCCTGTCAATTTAGAGTCGGTACGCTTTCAATCGGATGTTACTTAGAATCTGTTTAAAACGTTATTAGCAGAAAATGTTATGTACTTATTGTAGTTTAAAGATACAATATGGGTTTTGCGATTTTCATTCCTCTCGAATGAAAATTTAAACTTTGGGCTTGATAAGTGCCATCAACTTCTGCGCACGCTGCTAATGAACTTCACCGGCTGCTTTTTTTCAGTATCTGGCCATTGAAATAGCATCCTTAGCCATTTTCCAGTATTCTTCAGTTAATCTTTGATTATACCCCAATACATTTCGGCCGGAAATCCCGCATTCCTTTCTCAATGACGTCTACTCCATTATCGCGATACCACTGTTGCGCATTCTTACGGTTATGGCAACTCGTCAAACCATGGAATTATAAGGCAAATCAGTCTACGAATATACTAATACAGACTGAGTAAAATTGTCATAGATTTTCCTCGTATTCATGCAGATTTTCTATGAATATCGAGGCAAATCAGCCGATGAGTGACCTGCGTTTTTGTAAATTTGTGTAAACGAATTTAAAATTTGAGTCGGATTCAACGGCGGTCCACATTTCCAAAATTCGCCTTCTCAGTTCGATATCTTCCGTTACTAGGTGAGCCTTAAATATAGAGTCCGAGAGAGCTGACTGTATCTTAATTTGAGTGGAGAGCACGGTATCAATACACAAAGAGCAAGCAACAATATAGACAATTGACACGACAACGAAATAAAGGAAAATAATTGGGTATTGAAGTAAATGCATATTCGTACTCTGCATTAAACATGTGACCAAAACCCAAAATTTCATCAATTTTGGTACACTGGAACTATTTTAAATAAGTACGATTACATTTACAAAAATCACCTTATTAACACCCCTCGGTGTCATTTTGTATGGGAGCGAGCTGTCAATTTGTCATTTTAGTGTCAAACAGTGAAGTTATTATTTTGCTTTAAATCTTAATTTAAAAATCGAGATGAAAGTGTGTGAGTTCGAAAAAAATATCGCTGTGCTCAGAAAACGAAACTCTTTCAGATGATATATATAATTAAAGAAATAATTAAAGAACCCAATTTAAGAATTGTGATTTAACTCGATACCTTCCTAAGTGGATGGTTTCCTTGAATTTCGAGTTTGCAAGAGTAAACCGGCGTTTTAGAGAAAAAGACTCGGGAAAACCGATCATATTTTTGAAAAGTTCTTGAGCGATAATTTGTTGCATGATGATTCAGAGCATCGCTCGTCCAAAATTGAGCACTGATAAATTTTGAATACCATTTTACATTTGTATGGATGTAGGGTTTTTGATCTAATTTCCGTCCTACTAAGCACAACTCTCGCTTTACCTCTATTTTTTGAACGGATTTGAACAAAAAATTGAATATTGCTGTGAACGATGACTTCTAAATTTATTCACCTTTCCATACGTACAGCTGGATTCGATAAAGAGTCACAAATTGTTTAGATATTGTTTAAAATCTAATACTGCTTCTTGATTCTAAATTCGTCTTATGAGTTTCAATTCCGTCCTAGCGCATTGAAACGCCATTAGATTTTCTTCGTCCTACGGATAAACGTAGAAAAAGGGGATTCACAGGGAGCGCTTCTTTTGTTTTGAGAACAATGAGCGTAAATAGTCATACAATGCGCTATAATAGGATTTATGTTGTAGCTAATGAACTAACGCATCCGAACAAACCTATTATTGATTTGTACATGGTGAAATTATTGATATTATTGATCTTTTCTGATCGATAGAACGGAAATGGGCGATTACGACGAAGTAGCGCTCTACCCTATAGGCCTCTAAAATCACTCTCAAAAACAAGTTGATGTGATAAGCTTCGACCCCACCGTGCAGCGTAATTTACTCATCACTACTTACTTCATAAACAAGCAAACACAATTCTAACGCCACACGTGCACTCACACCAGCGCTAACGTAAACATACTTCTATCTCTGTTCAACAAAACTACTATCCATCCTTCTAAACCAACATCAGCGAGCGATGCCACACATTCATCTCCACTGCCCGTCGATACACACAATCTTTGTGCGCTTCTGTTTCTGGCCATTTCCAGCAGTTCACCGTTCCGTCAGATTCCAAACACCGTCGCTGTGGGCGAGTCGCAAACGGAGTGTCTGTGTCACTCGTGTTCGTTCGTTCGTTCGTTCGTTGTTGTTTTCGTGTTTTCCACCCCATTTGACAGTTCGTTATCGCACACTCGGTTCGGTCGAATTTTATTGATTTGTTATCAGACAGTGTATGAGGCAAAGGTAAACTGCGACGAGGACGATGATTCTGGAACCGATTCGTAGTCGGTTGGTGCGAACAAAGTGTCAACTCGTTTGAAGAGAAATAAAAAAATCCGCTGTTTATCATTGGATTCGGACGCCCAATCGTATACCACCTACCTTTTCTGGGTGGTGCAATTTTACCAGTGCTCGTTATCAATTTCGTTTCCACCCAAAATAGCAGGAAAAGTTTTTGGGGCAGTCGTGTGATGTGCTGAAGAAATTAGAGAAGCAACGTGGCGCGATGGTGAAATATCGCTGCTTCCGGAAGTAAACCCTGAGAAGATCAATTTGGAATAGTGTCCTTGTGTGCAAGCGTTGCTAATAATCATTATCGAAATTCCTTATCAGGTCTGGTATAGAGCGTAAGTGAAGTGCAGCGAAGAATAGCGGATGCTTTTACAATACAACTGAAGCAAAATCAATGCATCTGGTGACGGAGATCTCGCCGTACAGCAGTGATATCAACCAGTAGCGGAGATAAATGAATAGGAATATGAAACGCCAGCTGGAGAAGTTTAAGGAGGAGCTCAAGTCAAATTTGACAAGGTAAGTTCCATGAATGTAGTACAAGGTACTTAACTTACCCACGGAGAATGTAGATTGTGAAGAGTGCTCGTTTTGACATCTATTTCTATTGTCTGTCCTTTGCCGAGTTGAATTCGAGGCTGACGGTATATCGTAAGGAGAAGAACGGGTTTTGATTTTCAAGTGTTTGTTTTGATTACTTCATCACACTGTTATTGAAGGCATGTGCTTCTGATGCGGCTCAGAGATGGTTTTCTGTGAGTAGTTCATCTGAAGGCAATGTTTTAGACTATAACTGGAAGGTTCAGTTTGTGGTTGATTGGTTAATTGGATTGGAGAAGAAGATACTACAACTCTATACTATTGAGGTTTAAGGATAGTGAGAGTGTTTCGTATGCTGATGTGAGGAAAGTTGCAGTAAACAATACGAAATGAATTCTTAGTAAGCATCAGCTTATCAACTCGAAGAGAACTATGAAATACAATTGATACTGCTAAACTGCCGTTATACATATAACTGTTCCATGTTCTATGCAATCCTTATGCACCGTGGGACTCTTATGAGTATAACGCCAGTATACTGCACTTAAATCAATTTTAAATTGTAATTATGAAGCTTATTGTTGTTTCCGGATAAGTTCCACGAGGTAATATCATTCCGGGAAGAGTTTGATTAAAATAAAATGTTAGTAGAATTGCATGTCAAATTCTGTCCAAATCTTCGTTGAAAATCTACGCAAAATATGGTTTCGAGGAACTTCAGAGAACAGCATAATAGAATCACAAAATTTACTGTCTTATTCGAATTTTTCATGAAAATGAGTTATACATTTCAGGGTGACCAGTGAACCGGGAAATTGGGAAATTCGGGAAAAAGTCGGAAACTCGAAATCACCGAGAAAAAGGGCCGTGAATTTCGATGACAAACCGCAAAAAAATATACTTCGTCCTCTCTTCGAAAAAAAAAAAAAAAAAGATTCCGAACTTGAATTTTCGGTGGTTCTGTGGAAAATTCTATGACAGATTATCCCTAAAATTCATCCACAATTTTCCGTAATTTATTTTACATACTCATCATAATTCACTACATAGAAGTGTCAGAATCATAAAAATATTTGAAGTCCATGAGTCTTAATTTTTTTAAATCTTAGATCACAGACAAACAATTTTGTTGATTGAATATTTCTCACTGTAAAACATCGTCGCTAAAACATTACCGCCATCTGTTGAGTACAAGGGAATTAACTATGCGCGCCACAGGTGGCGGTACTACCAACTACGATACTTTTAAATTGTCCGTTAAATGCTTGTTCGATGAACAACTTACGAGTGTTATGTCTGTTTATCTGTGCTTAGATATTTAAAACGCAGTATTGACGTCAAAAATCTCGGGAAGTTCTGAAGTGTAAAAACTGGCCCAACATTAAAATATCGAAATAAATTCCACTAAATTTCTTAGTCCGAGAATTCAAATGTTATTCCGTAGATCTCACTATATTCTAAAACAATGTCTATACTCAATCTATCAATTCGGTCTACTATCCTTCGAATAATTGATATGATTAGGATGATGAGGAACTACCACTCACTGTAGCAAGACAACTGTCGGTAGACTGTTCGACTTGATCAAGTTTAATAACCTCTAATTGTACTCATCCTACCTTTGTATGAAGGGCCAAAAACGGTTTGCGTGAATCCGTAGGCAACATAAATGAGATGATAAGATAAATGATAAATGAGAATTTCCTTCCAACAACAAAACCGGTCAAAAAAACAGGCCATGCCCCAATGAGTGGGGGAGAAGAGTTCGACCTCTATTCACGAAATGTTAAAGATAGGGAGTTAGCATTTCCACTGCCCCCATCCATTTCGCTTCAATCGAGTGCCCTGGTGGACCCTCCTGTACCCAGCATTTACTGTTTCATATAATAATGGAATGAAAGTTAAGAGAAACATATTTTATTTTTCTGCTAGACTAGATTTTTTTCGAATGAATTTTGAAAAGATTTTTGAATGGATAACACCAGGGGTTTTTAAGCCCTCCCCTTGGCTAGTTTTTGCACCTTGCTGTTGGTGGGCGGGCTTAATTTCATGCTAGTGGACTGTTGGAGACGGTGGGTTTATGGTCGGCGTTGCTGGCTCATGCCGCGATAGAATGGCGTCATGGGCAGGCAATGGAGATTACTGAGCTTCCCCTCTCTGATAAACCACTGCATGAGAGAACCAAAGATCTAGTCTAGCATTGATAGTATCACACTTGTTACTCCTTTAATTGAGAGCCGCGTCGTAGTACGCTTACGTATAGGCACTGACGTTGGGTGTGATACTGGCGGGTTTTGCCGCAAATCACTCTTATTTTATTTATTTTTACGCAGATAGATTCATTTGGGTTTGCAAGGGAATTATACTATTGAAATATTTCAGAAAGTGCCCAACAGTGCTCCTTCTATTTGCGTGACAAGCTTTCATTGTTGTTTTCATTGAATTATTACTCAGGAAACAATGTTAAACATCATTTTTGTACATGGTATTGTAACTAATCTTATATGTGCTTCATTTTAATTTGGGATAAGTGTTTGAACAATGGCTCGGGATTTCCACTGTGGTGTGCTTCTATTGTGACATACCCATCTGTATTTTTGTGGTGCCACATAGTGGAAGCGTGAGAGCGTAGTTGGAACATTTACCCTATACAATATACAATTTAAAATTAGCTTGGAAACTTACTTCAAAGTGAAGCATTTGAGTCACTTGAAGGTGTCATCTGGGACGAATATATGTAAAAGCCAGAAGTACTTGAAACACGTTAAATTGTAGTTTAAAAGCATGGGTTATGATTGTGTAGGTAGATTAGAGATTTCAGTTATTTATTAAATAAACTTCAATTATAGAATTCAGAAAGTTAATTAACATAAGAGATAGGACGCGGGGGGTCCGCTTAGGGAGGCGACTAGCCCATGAAGTTGTATAATAAATCTTCCTATTTAGTGTATTTGTTAATTACAGACAATGTCAATAGCGAAAGTCATATCTTCAACCAGGCGCTTACGAACAAGTGAAGTTTTAGGAAAGATGTGTTAAATATGTTGATAGGTTTGAAATAAGAATTAGCATTGTTGTGCTTTAGTTTACGGTAAGTTATGATGTGTCAACAAAGCCCTTTTGAGCAAATTTTCAAACATTAGTGATTTATTGAAAGACATTGAGTTGCGAAAATTGACAAGTCATACATCTAACATAGTAGTAGTAGCAGTGTCGCATAATCTTATCACAATTGCTGCAAATAGTGCTGGAGGGGCCGGCAGGGCTGAATACGGATCAAAACTAACATAACTACTAACACTAAAATGATCCCGGAACTAACACTTATCCATTGCACTTTTAGTTATATATTAGTTTTATTTTTCTACTAAGTCATCTATGCTTCTTTCTATTGTTTGGATCAAGTACAACTAATACTAATCTACCTTTATGTATGTTTTACTCCCTTTTAACCCATTATCTTTATGAATGGCGAATCATATGACGTGAGACACGTACAAGCTGGAACTCAAAGAATTACTTCGAACAGGATGTCAAACAAATTCAGGACCAATCCAAATGAGACCAGAAACCAACAAGGCATCGGGGAGTTATATATTCTGGGAGAGGTATTTGATAAATAATCAAAAAGTGGTAAGTTAAAATCAGAGCCAAGGATCATGAGAGGTAATTGTCTCGATAACTTTTTCAAGGGAGCGTATCGGCTTTTGTAGGCGGTGCGTTTGGTCATCGATTTGGCTTAACTGGTGGCTCGCCCACGCGGGCTGGCACTATCATCAGATAGGGGAAATTTTCCTCTACCTGCTGGTGGCGTTGATAAGCGTGTGCGAGCTGCCGGTTGCGCCGGATCGACGATCGGATGCATTGTTTGCAGGAGCTGGTGCTTCCCTTTGAAAAAGTAATCGAGAAATAACCATATTATCCTGTACTTGTTATTACTATTTTTATATATCAATGAAATTAGTCATGACAGAGTAACAGATGGGGAAGGACAATAGACACAAGTTGACACAATAAACAAGACAAGTGGGGATTAATACACAAGACAAAATGACAAAATAAGTGACGACAGAAGATAAGACTGGGACAAAATCAACCTTAAAAAAAAAAAAAGAATGCGCAATTATATTATCAAAACTATTTGGATCAGCACAAAAACAACAGTGACCAAACGGGCACCATAGCCTAGGAACGTCTGTGTGTTGATTTAAAATAGAGGCTCATAGAAGCAAAATTTATCAATAAAAGGGGTCCAGTGTAGAGTTTAAGCAAGTGCTGCCACTGGATCACAAAAAAAAAAATATATAACACCAGGGGTTCTTAAAGAAATTCCAAATAATTCCAATTTTGAGCGTGCGATTCCAAAGAAATTCTGATGATAATTTCAAGTAAATTCCGAGGATAATTCCAAGAGCATCACGAAACGATTTTCTAGAGAATTTTATGGAAACTTCTAAGCAAAATTGCAGAAGAATTTAGAAGAGAAGTCCAAGATAATTCTGGAAAAAAATTTCAATACAATTTTGAAGTGAATTGTTTGGGAGTTCAAAAGAGAATTAAAACGAATTTCGAATAGAATTATAGCAGAAATCTTCAGCGAATTCCTAGAAAAAGCTTTGAAATTCGAAGGAAATCTAAGAATGAATTTCATTTTTTTTTTATGGATCGCAGAAAATTTTAGGATTGTTTTAAATAATTTTTTTAGAGACTTTCAGAGGGAATCTCTATCTTTCAAAAGATTCAAAAGGGAATTTCTTAGAATATTCTAATAACATATGTACTGTAAATATTTTCGATTAAATTTTGCGTAAAGTTCGAATATAGAAATTTTTTGAAGAATTCCAACACAAATCCGAATTTGATTCGGGAAAAATGCTGCGGTCTTAGATGACCCATTTAATTTAGTAATTCTTTCGGTTTTCGGTGTTATGCTCAATTTGTAACAAGTTCACTTTTCCATTTATTTATTTAGTTATTTA